ATAGCAAAAAAAAAAAAAGAAAGAAAAGAAAAGAAAAAAGAAAAAAACTATGCCTTTTCTCTTACTACTACTATTATTATTGTTTAGGTTTTTTGCCATTGGGCGTATGCACTTGGTGGAGAGAGGGGAAGTAAGAAATAACCCTCCAGAGGGATGGCCACACCACAATCCCTTCTCCTGCGTATTCCTCTCGGAATTTTATGCATGCGTGCACACACACCCTGCGTGATTTTCAAGCTGCCAGGTCTGGAACTCTAACTATGATCAGCCATGTGGAAGTCCAACACCCTAACCGCCATACCACGGCCTGGTCCCACGCCTTTTCTTATTAATTGCCTACTGTCAGTGACTTCCAGTGAAGCTCAGAGGGTGAAATCTAGAAAACTAGAAATAGTGTTTATAATTCACAAGGGCTAAATTTCCCTTTTAATAAATAGTCCCTACACATGTTGGGAAAACTACCCACAAACCGATAGAAAACTATACGAGGGCAGAAACGATGCTTCACAGAAAAGGAAATACAAATGGCTCCTTAACACACGGAGAGGTGCTCCACCTCCTGTTAAAAAAGAAGTGAAATGTGAACTTTGAGATCCAGATGCTCCGAGGTTGGTAAGCATAAAAGAAAGCAAGGTGGGTGACACACAGGTCAGTGCGAATGTAGGAACAACACTGCCATGCTTTGCTGGGATGCGAAAGGGCGTGCTACGATGGGGAAATCAGGCAACCTCTACCAAAATTCCCAATTCACGTGTCTTTTGTTCTAGCATTCCCACCTCTTGGAATTTATTCTTCACATACATGCCAAATGACTCAAGTTCTCAATTATTGTAGCACTGTTAGCAACAGTGAAAGATTTAGCATAAACTCTGCATTACAGGGGGCTGGCTACCCAAATGATGGTACATTTACACAATGGGATACTGTACAGGTGCGAAACAAAGGAAAAAGTTCTTTATATACTAATATGGAATAGCTGGGGTAAGTGGGTGGTATGGTGGCTGAGGCATTGGACTCCCACATGGCTGACTGAGGTTCGAGTCCTGGACCTGGTGGCTTGCTTTCTCACTTTTCCTCTCTCTTTCTCTCTCTGGTCAAATGAAAATAATAGTAATAAATAAAATTAAATAAATAGTTTTGTAAAAGCTATAAAAATATGGAGCAGTCTCCAAACTAAAATTAATAGTACTAAAAAAATACACAGAGTATGCTACCAAACTACCATTTGGGTGAACGAAGAAAAGAAGAGTGTAAGAAGTAAACTCACCCTTGTGCGTATACATTCTATCTGGGAGAGCCTAAGAGACTGGTAATAACACCTCTCGTCAGGGGTAGGACCTAGATGACTCAGGGACAGGGAAGAGAGAAACCTCCCATTTGTGCCTTTTGTACCCTTTGATTTATAACTCCATGAATGCGTAACACATTAAATTTACAATGTGAGACATAAAGAATGTAGTTAGAGTCTAGCCGGTCTGTACTTATCCTGGGTATGGCTGAAAAGAAAGTTTCTTCTTCATCTAGATTGCTGTTTGATTAAGGTAACAAAAGATCATTTTTATTTATTTACTTATTGTTAGTTTTTTTTATTTTTATTTTTATTTTTATTTTTTTACTTACTGTTAGTTTTTTTATTTTTATTTTTAATTTTATTTATTTATTTTTGCCATAGGGTGCGTGTGCTCCTCAGAGAGAGACAAAAACAGTGAGAGAGAAAGTGAGAAATTATACCCCGGGGGGTAGGCCATATCACAATCCCTTCTCCTCCAAAATCTCCTCTTAGGATTTTTGGCATGCATATACATGTGTCCAGAGTGATTTATAAGCCACTGGCTCCAGGTCTCGAACTACACTTGGATAAGAGGGAGTTCAGCAACTTAACCACCATGCCACCTGCTGGCCTCAATAAACAGTTTTTGTTTTTTTTTAATTCTTTTTTTTTTTTGGGAGAGGTTTTCGCTATAGGGCGCGTGCACTCGCCAGCCAGCCAGAGAGAGACAGAGAGACAGAAAGCGAGAAATCACCCCCCAGGGGGGATGGTCACGCCGCAGTCCCTTCTCCTCCATTCTCCTCTCAGGATCTTGGGCACGCATGCACACGTGCCCGGCGTGAGTTTTAAGGCACCGGGTCCGGGACACGAACCGCGGTCGACTACGTGGGAGTCCAGCGACATAGCCATTACGCTAACTGCTGGTTCCCAATAAAACTGTTTTTTACTTGAAAACTAATGTTCCAAAATAAAAGTTAAGTAAGAAAATTAAAAAGTGAAAAAATAAAACAAAGTTGCTCCATGACAGAAATAGCAGGATCACAGTTTGTTTAGAGCAATTGAACAAATATCAAAAATGAAAAAGAAATCATAGGGACCAGCAGATGGCATAATGGTTAGGTCACTGGACTCCCACATAGTTGACGGTGGTTTGAGTCCTGGACCCTGTGGCTTAAGCTCACACCGGGTGTGTGCGTGTGTGTGTGTGTGTGTGTGTGTTCCCAAAGTCCCAAGAGGGGAGAATGGAAGAGAAGGGACTGCAGCATGGCCATCTCCCGTGGGGGGTGATTTTGCCCTATAGCAAAAATCTCTCTTAAAAAAGAAAAAAAAAAGAAAGAAAGAAATCATATGCATGTTTAGCCAAACTGACTCTAAGAGAATATATCAAAATTTTGGTGAGGAGAGGGGATGCAATAATTGCGATAATGTATTTTACTTTTGATTAGATACTTCCATATTGTTGGAGTATTCTTATTGTTTGGTACATTAAATAATTTTACAGCTTAAAATTTTAATTAGATTTAAATATGCAAACCCCCAATATTTTCATCAATAATCAAATGTCCATAAATTAGGTCAGTAATTCAAAGGAAAGAAAAAAAACTGTATGTTTAAAATGTTCATTTTGCAACCAGCAGGTGGTGTGGTGGTGATGGGGGCTGGACTCACACATGGCCGACTGTGGTTTGAGTCCTGGACCGGGAGGCTTGCTTTCTCACTTTCCCTTCTAATAAACAGTCCCGATATATGTTGGGAAAACTACCCACAAACTAATAGAAAACTATACAAAGGAAAGAAACGATGCTTTACAGAAAAGGAAATACAAATGGCTCCTTAACATACAAAAACATACAAAAAGATGCTCAACCTCTTTGTTAAAAAAGAAGTGAAATGAATCACAGAATCAGCCATATGGGGTCCAGCTATCTCAACCACCTTGCCACCAACTAGCCCTCAACACTTTTATAGCATGATTTCAAAACTAATTTTTGCAGGGTTTTAAAAATGTTTTCCAACTTCAAGTGTTTCTGCTTTGCTCAGAATTTAATTTGAGAAGCAAAACAAAGTGAAAAAGACCTTCTTGTGAATCCAGTTAGCATCACTAACTGCCCAGCCCAGACAGTAGGTTTCTACTAGGGAAGAGCCACTTACCTGCAGGAGGAAGAGGAAGACGGGGTGCTTGATCCAGGGAGGGCCTTTTGAAAGACTGCATCAGCTTCCCCAGGACCTGGGAGCTGTTCTCAGGTGCCACCTTCCCCTTGGTGCTGCCAAAGAAGTCCCTGATATCCTTTCTTTGTCTGGTTTCTTGGAGGAAACTCTCAAAAGATCTGTCTTTGAGTCTGAGGGAGGAAAAGAGTGAGAAGCTTTTCTTGGGAACCCTGGAGGTATCTGGGGAGGTCTCTTGCAAGCTTACTTTCTCAAGAAGGGTGGGCACATCTTCAATCTTGCTGTAAGGTGGGGACATGAATGCAGGAGACATCTTGGATGGCCGATTGGGCAAACTCTGGCTGCGGAGGGTGGTGTCAGGAGGGCTAAGGCCTGAGGCCTGGGCATTCCT